AGTTAGAGTTGGGTAGGGTAATGATAGGGCTCAAACAGCAAGAGATGAATTTATAACCTATATCGTGGGTTCGATTTGCGCTACGGACTCGTGTGAAAAGAGTCTGTCAACGCTCTGCCGAAAGTCGTGGGTTTTCTCCTGGAGCTCCGGTTTCCCCCACAGGACAAGTTGACAAAGTGGGTTAGGATAAAAATAGTTAGGAAAGTGATATCACCATTGTTGTAAAGATAATAGTTTAGTCTATGTATAGCCTGCTTGGGGTTGAGGCGCGGGCAACGAAAATAACCCTTAAAACCGCCGGCTACGCAGGCTACACGGGTAAAAATTGAGAAAATCAACAACTTGTTGCAAGTTGATATCGACAGGCGTGAACAAGGTTGTGCGGCCCACTATGAACAGTATTGTCAACATGTTGTTACAGCATTGTTCAACTGTAACAACTTGGAACAACATGGTTGACAAATTGTTCATAGTTGGCCGCACAACATTGTTCACGCCTGTCGATATCAACTTGCAACAACCTGTGCGTTTTTAGCCGTGTATATAGGCTAAGTAAAACAAGTAAGCGTAGTACTTGATGTAATCTGTCACTAAAAAGCCCCAATGGGGAGTGAGCTCAATAATAATGTAATAATATACAATTATTGGACGAGATTGAGCAAAATATCGTGATTTGTCAGTGGCGAGCAGATAAATTATTTTCCTTGGGCAGAGGTAAATAATTTATCTGCGAGCCACTGACAAATCGCGATATTTTTCGCACCAGTTATTTGCAGCTGACGTATTATTCTCACCAGTTATTTGTAGGAAAATTAGCCAATCAACGTTGAGAAAATGAATAAGTAAAAGATAATAATAATATTTTTTAAGTAGATGTAAATATCGTTCCATTTATCGTTCCACTTGGGCAGAGGTAAATAATTTATCTGCGAGCCACTGACAAATCGCGATATTTTTCGATGAGCGAGTTCAATAATTGTCTTATCATTTACCTATTCATTTTCGAATTATTCATTTAATTGCTTTTTTGCATCACTGCATTTTTTCCTTCTGGCAAAGACGCCAAGTTATCTTCTGAAAATGCAGCAAAAAGAGCCATGTTTACTACTGTGTTTACTTGAATTGCTTTTCAAAAATCTTAAATGCGCATGCGTAAATCGATATTTTGCAATTGAGAATTGATTTCAAAAGTGCGCATGCTCAGATCATTATTTGCACCAGTTATTTGCAGCTGACGTATTATTCTCACCAGTTATTTGTAGGAAAATTAGCCAATCAACGTTGAGAAAATGAATAAGTAAAAGATAATAATAATATTTTTTAAGTAGATGTAAATATCGTTCCATTTATCGTTCCACTTGGGCAGAGGTAAATAATTTATCTGCGAGCCACTGACAAATCGCGATATTTTTCGATGAGCGAGTTCAATAATTGTCTTATCATTTACCTATTCATTTTCGAATTATTCATTTAATTGCTTTTTTGCATCACTGCATTTTTTCCTTCTGGCAAAGACGCCAAGTTATCTTCTGAAAATGCAGCAAAAAGAGCCATGTTTACTACTGTGTTTACTTGAATTGCTTTTCAAAAATCTTAAATGCGCATGCGTAAATCGATATTTTGCAATTGAGAATTGATTTCAAAAGTGCGCATGCTCAGATCATTATTTGCACCAGTTATTTGCAGCTGACGTATTATTCTCACCAGTTATTTGTAGGAAAATTAGCCAATCAACGTTGAGAAAATGAATAAGTAAAAGATAATAATAATATTTTTAAGTAGATGTAAATATCGTTCCATTTGTAGCAATTACAAACAGACTGTTGTCGCCAACGGTTACATGTTTAACCTGCAGATCTTCGACCTGTTTCCATGTTGAACCAGTCGGGTGAAGGGAACATATACCAAATCTGTAATAGAGCACATTTGCCGAAGTTACAGCATACACCCTGCCTTGGTAGCTAGCCTCGAGCTGCACGAAACTGCCATCAACATCAAACCAACTTGTTCCCTGAGGGTAGCTGAATGTCACTCCAGTGCGAAAAGCGATCGAATTGTCTGGTTTTATCGCCCAGCAGCCATAATCCCCACATGAAACGTATTTGAAATTTCCTGCTAGCTGATGCCAGTACTTGTCACCGTACGGCAATTGGTCCGTGATACCAGTGCGACAGTATATAGCGTTGTCTCTGCAAAAAGATTAATTTCATGAAATATGTGTTCTAACGTCGCTCTATCGTATTTTTCTTTGTCAAATTTGCCAGTGAATAATTAATTAAGTCACAACAATACGGCCGCCTCAAGTCTCATTATCGCGTGTTTAAAACGATCTAAAACCCTTAAAAGAGGATGGGAATATATATATCTTTTAAGTTAGGTATAAAAAGATATTTGCTTGATGGTAGAACTAATTTAAACACGGAACGTTTTGATTCGTAAGGAATGTGACAGATTTCAAAATCTCTCCTCGTTATAAATCAGATCAGTGTCAGAACCTTTGAAATTGATGTCCCGCGCATGTCGCCTCGCACATCTTGGCCGCATCTCGTTCCCAGTGCCAATCGGGCACACTTTGTACCCCTGAGTGACCCTTCTGCCCTTACCTTTTCTGTGCCAGTGCCCTAAACAACTGTAATTTGACAAAAGGTATGTAAATATTATTGTCGATTTCAAGTCACTTTTCAACTTCTATTCCAAAGTTCGTTGTGAACATGCCAAATAAATCGCCATGTTCGGAAATTGTGAACTTTGCAACGAATTTCATAAGTTCATTCCAATCATATATAAGTTCATTCCAATCGTACATTCCGTTCATATCAAAATATTTCGAAAGATGCGGCGCGTTTGTTAATTTAACCTGCACCATTAAGCATATACTGTGTTTTTTAACAAATGGATAAAAAATAGCAAAGATACACAACAATTACTGATATCTTATTATATATGTAATTGAGTAGATGACGTCACATGGTTACAAACAAAAGAAATATCTCAAGAACTAAGCATGAGAACAAAAATCTTCAAAACAAGTTATTATACAGTTTTACGAGCATTTTCGTTTCAGTTTTGGTTTAAGAGAATAAAAATTTTGATCATACTACCCCTTTAAAAGAATATATGATAAATTCAAAGGTAATCCTATCGTATTACATCGTCTTAAATGAATTCTCAACTAAAATACGGCAATAAATGGATCAGAAATTTAGTTAACTTTACTGTTGACCAGATTATTTTACTCTGCCTAATGCCAGACGATTTTACTCGTCAAGGGGAATGTGCTGTCACTCAATGAACCCAATGACCAGTAGCACTCTCCCTTTGACAAGTAAAATCATCTGGCATTAGGCAGAGTGAAATAAACTAGTAAGGTAGGCAGGGGCTGCGGAACCGGGGTCAATGGGGGCATGCCCTCCCCCCCCTCCCCACACACACACACACAAACATTTTTTTAAAGTAGGGTGTACAATGCAGCTCACTGGGTTAACTGAAAAATATATTTATTAAACAATATACACCCCATACTTGTATTTCCAGTCATGTCATGATTTAGCATGCTTATGTCTATTTGGCCCAGGTACCTGACTGGAATGATATTTGAACCACGCTTGTATTTGAACAAAGCTTTTAAAGGTACATTAATTGTATCACACATAAACCATGTGAATATCTGAACTAGAGCAAAAACATAATCACGTAGCTTTGGTGTTTTAATTTCTTGAGAAGGAATAACGGAGTTACAATGAGACCAGTAGGCAGTACCAAAATTTAAAAAGGCATTGTACAAAAATATTACAAACACAAGACAGAAAAAACACAAAGCATGTCACTACAGAAACGGTACTTTGAAATATAGATATTATTGCTTTAAAGAAACTTGTAGCTTTTCACAATTGTCTAATGGTCACTGTCAGGCAATTACAATCTCCTAATGTCCAAACTCTAAGTAAAGTATTAACGCTAACAGACCATTTATTGCAAGTCGGTAGTACATCATATCAACAGGTAATCTCGACAAAACAATGTAAGTATACAGTAATTTAGCTGCTACATAAGCGTCTTTAATTAAACACTATCCTTATACTTTTTCAATTCATTCAAATTTGTAGTTAAAAGACATATTCTATTTGTAGTAACTCATGATATGAATAATGTCACATATAATCTAGCGTCTTTGGACCCAAGTGATCTAGAGTTCCATCTTGTTAAAACCTATCCAAGGAAAAACAAGAAAGGGATATTGAAGTAATTGTGTTTTAGAGCCAAATAAATTCGAATATCCACAAGTTTTAAAGCAGAACTCCGTATATAACCCGAGACAAAATGGCATCATAGCGAACAGTAATGATCTTCTTTGCTTTCCAAAAAACAACAAAATTACTGCCTTACCTTCTATTCAACTAGTTCCACCGCTAAATCGAAGTCATATTTCGTACTATTTGAAAAAAGCTGTTTTTACTGTTGAAATAACACTGCATTAGCCATTACACAATATTACACTTGTTTAGCTCGCGCATGCGCAGTATAAGAGATGGGACAAGTTTCGGCGCGAGTGAGACTTCTGGTCCTATTATTTATTCCGCGAGCTTAGTATATATACATGAACTTGTGGTTAGAGCTCGGCAACTGGACTCTGTAGCTCAGTTGGTTAGAGCGATGCACCCGAATCGCAGGGCCGCAGGTTCGATTCTGAGGTCTAATTTAAATTTGCACCCGATAATTTCCATCTACAAAACCGTTGGAAAATAATGCTAATTATTTTTAGTCTAGGACCTGTATATGAGTTTGTATGCATTTCATTTAGGACAGATAATCTCAACTGTTTTAGGGCAAGTTGACCATGACGGTCAACATGGTAACGCTGCCCGAACCCCAATCCGGGACAAAACGTCCGAA